TCAGTCAGTGAAACCTTAGCTTCGGAAGGTGCGTGCGTGTAGCATAAAAACACTGCACTCCCATGATATTCAAGAGTCTACACATTTGGTTTTCTTTACTTGATCACTCCTACATTTAATAAGCGACTGATTTTCAGGTACTTTATTTACAAGCATAAATGCACTCACCATTCTTGATTGAGGCGGCCGCAGCTCCTCTTCTGACTTTTGCGCTCTATTTCAGGTTCGTCCGGTGGTTCAAATCGCGAGGGCCTGATTTCACTAACAGGTTCATGAACCCTTTCATAATGTTCACCTGTTCACATCGAAGCCTCAAAATTCCGAATGATCAGACCCCGAAATAGAACTGCTTTCACTCGAACTACTATGCGCCGTATTTACTTTGCTTAAAGTACACATGTGTGACGGGTCACATGACCAAAATCTAAGCGTTTACGGCGGATGACAGTTTTCCCGGCGAAAAAAGGCACAAAGAGGCATTCGAAGCACCTTGTATCTGTTTCTATGCGTTACCTGAGTTACCCTTCAAGTGAGGATTTCTCGATAGTCAGTCCTTTGAAACAATTTTTTATAATGATAAGATGCTCTGGGTTCACTCGCTGCGCTCACTCGTGAGTTATCGAGTTAAACACTCGAAGAGAAATCCTATATATATATATATATCCACGTGCGCCCACGAATTATTCCCTATTCGTGATGGAGTCTTGGTATGATTTGTGATGACTTTTGAAACCCATCTCATGCACATGTTGTTTTTAAACAGCTCGCCTTTGATGGAGCAAAGGAATCTCTATTCTCTGCTGCATTTGGACATGGGACATGGGACGGGTGTAATGTGGTTTGATGACGTGGGACGTTGTGGCTCAAGAATACGGTATTCCGTTGTAGACACAAAGGATGGAGAGGGAGCAACTGTGGGCACTGGGAAGATGCCAGTGTGCGTTGTGATTCCACCTGGCAAAAGATTTATTTTTAAATATCTGATATGAAAGAGAGATACAATTTCTAACTTATTTCTTCTATCCCCTGAATAGCCTTATTTAATATAAACGGAAACAGTGCATTTAAGGCGCGCTCTGATTGTTTCTCCCAGCTCCGAACCCCCTAAAATGGGTAAATACAAACTCTCTTTTGTATTTACCCATTATACCTAATTAATTCGGATAAAGTACTGAATATTCAAAAAATTAAGGAATTCGCATACTCTTTAATCTAAAGAGATAATTTTTTTTCTTAACAAGAACTGCTTTTTTTTTCCCTTTAAATTGGAGAGCTTTTAAAACTTCCTAAACTTTCGATTTGAGAGAGAGGCTTGTGTAATCTAGATATTCTAATTTTTACAGAGGATATAATATTCTCGTTAATTTTTCGAATTTTTGGTGCTTTCCATTGGCAATAATGTTCAGAGCTAAGTTAACACAAAGTAAAATTAAATCTATGGCCAATCTATGGGCGTTTATAACAAAATTGGTTTCGAACCCTATAATTCAATAATTTCGGATGCAAATCATGAAAAACAGGCTACAACAAATGCAGCATACTTAATTTGCTCGCCTGTATTGGCTTGAGACATTATCGTTTCAGCCCTTTGAAGTTTCCTGAGAAGACCATCTCAGAGAGATGACCAATTTCCTGGGAGGAAAAGTGCGACTACACTGTTGGTAAAAACCGTTCTGAAAAGGCTCCTTTATATTTGTTTATATTACTAACCTAACGTGCACTGTCGAACGCTTTGTTTAAGACTATAACATCGTTACATTAGAAGTTAAGAAAGCTGATAAGATCACTAATGTGTTGAACTTCTCCCTTTAGGTGGCTTTTCTTGCCCATCTTTTAATGGGCAAAAGGTGATACAACTACTTCAACAGGGCCACAGAATGCCAAGACCACGACGCAATGATAATGTTTTGTTAGTACTTGGTTATGAATTTGAATTCTACTAATTAACTTATTATACATTTCTTTAGTTACTCACGTGGTCATGATTCATGATCGATAAACTTTCAATAGTAAAAATCTTTCTTTTACAATAGATCACCAACAGCACCTTATGAAACCTTTAGTCCTAATTTGCAGGCACAAAATCATGCGAGACTGCTGGCAAGAGAATCTTGATGAACTTCAACATATGAGAAATGTCGGAATAATTTAAAGGAAATGGAACATCAACAGCAGGTGGAGACAAGCAAATGCAAATGTAAATTACGTGCCTTGGGTTTGTTTGGTTGATTTTGGTCTCCTGTTTTTTCTGAAAAAGGCTTATCAACATACAGTTCTATTATAACAAGATCTACGAGAATTCGGATCGATTTCTTTTTCAAAAAACGGCTTGGTGGCATATCCGGTTTGAGTCTAAGAGAAAAGCGTTGGTTGGTTCGACAGCACGTTCCTTCTCCAGAGGGACGGACCGAAAAATTAACTGATAAAACAAACAAACAAACACTAGCTATCCTACAAAGTGATTTACATTTCAAAAGTAAAAGTTGGTATCAGCCCATGTGTCACTGGTCGCTTTGTCTTGATTCAATTTCTAACTATTCCTCCTATTCCTTATGTTTTTAATTATTTCCATTTATTTATCTTTTGATTTAATGGGTTCCTTATGAAACAGTGTTTTTGGTGTAATCGATTGAAGATAGGTTTACCTTGTTGACAGGAGAGCGATCATAGATCGAAGGTAAATAGACATCAAATTTACATATATTTCCCTTTGTTGTTTGGGTTAGATTACGAATGTTTTTTTAGCAGTATTTTGAATCTGTTTTTGCTTTAAGAGTTATTTTAATGTCGCTTTTCATTTCTTCAAATATTTGTCAGATTTACCGCTATCTCGGATAGAGCAAAATCGCGACATCAACTTCCAAGATTATAAAACAAGCACGTAGGGATTTGGTAATTGAGCAGGATATTATTGTGGAAGTTGTGGCAGCTGGGTAGTAGAAGACTGAAAAAAAGCCTTCGAGATTTAAGACTTTTCGTGCCTAAATAATACGGTCATGCACATCGTTTATTCTCCTTCAACAATTACTGTTTTGCATTTATTTATGTTCTTAAGTATATGCTATATCTGAGGGTCTCAATGGGGTGATGGTTCTTAGGACTGCGGTTGAAAATTTTGGCCATTTTACTGCTAACGGTTAATTTTTTTTCCCTCGCGATAAAAAAAAAATTTTACGGTTAGCTTTTTTAACGACTAACGATTAAAATTTGACGATTTGACGGCTAATTTGTATTTGCCACTTTATGACTCACGGCAAACCCCACTGAGACCATCAAATTTACTTTAGACCAACTATGCTATTTCTCTATGTTCATACTTCAGCTTAAAGTTACATTGAAGTATTCGAATACCATCTTTTCTTTCTTTGTATCAAAATACCAGGTCCCATCGATTTCATTACCTTTTACCCAAGTATTTACCCTTAAGAGTCTAAAGCTTAATTAAAAAGTAATGAATATCTCAATATGAACAACATAACAAAAGTGTTAGTGTTAACTGACAGTGTAGGAAAAATACAAATAATATTTTAGTCCTGTCAAGTCTACAGCCTAGATTTGATTCAGTCTCATTTTTACTCTGAAAAGATAAGTTTCAACTTAAGATCTAGAGGTTTGTTGTATCCGAATGAGGCTAATAGTCATTTCGTACGTGAGACACTGGTCGAAGTTAAATGGTGCCACTATTTTCCTCATTAGTAGCCTATGTCGCCTCGCTCACGCTTTCATTGAAAAAGACAGTAGACGACGATCCTTATTTTAGGACGGTACGCGTTGGCATTTGCAAGGCCAGAAAAAAGCCGCACGGCCCCGTGAGATGCCAGATAAAAGTAAAAAAAAAAAGGAAAGAAAAGAAAGAGCGACAGAAATATGACTGACTGAGCTAGGTCGGGGACAGAGCTTTAGTTTGGATAGAAAAACAATGAAACAGAATTTGGCTCAGCAATACAAGATTGCTATGCAATATGACCACAGTGGGCTGTTTAGAATGCTTTATCTAGCTATTGTTGTATTCATTAATAAAAATTTTCCTCCACGCTGTCTGTTTAACACCAAGTTTTAAACACCCAGAATATGTGACACTGCATGTCGGATCTCCTCGTTCCACCGAACGCAAATAAAAGAGTTCAATGCAGAGCTGATGTAAACAATTGTCAGTGTCATAGTAAAGCCAATTTTCAATGCCATCGACCATCCAGCTTTATGCGCAGTAACTAATGTGCTAAAGAAAGGTAAATGCGTTATGAGATAAGATACTAAAATAAAGAAGACCATGATTGCAACTTTCTGATGACGACCTACATTTGGCGTATTGATCCTATACATTTGCATATTGGAGGGAGTTTCAAGTTGTTGCTGAACCTGCATCAGATATTGTCGAATTCTTAGATAATTCTTAACATTAAGTGGAAGAGTTAAAAACATGACAATCACAGCCAAATATATCACGAAAAAAACCAAGAGTTTTGTATCCCCAAATGCAGCAAACATAGAACAAGTTAAAGTGGTCACTGACCATGCGAAAACAACCATGATCGCGGTATTTCTTGGTGTAACCTTTGAGGCATGCCAGTCTGCATACTGTAAGGCCAAGTATTGATCCACTACAATTCCCAAAACAGAGAAGGAAAAAACAAAAATGCAAATTATAGACACTGAAATAGTTATCGATTGGGATATGCAATAGCCATTGGCATTTCCACGGATCTCTTCGATTTCCAAAACGATTAATGACGGTTGTGCCAGAAGCGAAACCGCGATACTGGCGCTTGCTTGAGATGCTAAGAAGATATTTGACGAAGTGTGAAGAGAAGGCTTGTAACATATCACAAAAACAACAAGTGTGTTCGATATTAATATTATCAGCAAAAATATACCGTTCAGTAATACCACGAAAATATTCAAAGCGGTGAGGACTTCACTGAAGTTATCCTTGTCGAGGGCAAAAAGCGGACAGAGCTCATGAGAGACGTCCATTCCAAATGTTTGGCAATTCTCGTTGAACTGTTTCGTGAGGCTTTCCCGACTGTCAGAGTACTTTAAAAAAAAACTGAACCTTACTTATAACCGGCACGCGAAATTACCCCCCCAGGCATGCAGATGTTTTTTGCTTTTGGAGCGGATTCGACACATGAATTATTGTTATTCTTTTAAAGTCGAATTAGCTATTTTTTTTTTAAAGACAAGATGCTCTGAGTTCACGATAAAAATGCAAATTTAGAAGATTTACAGGAACACCTGCCTTTCAGTATTGCTCGTTGCGAAGCCAACCTTTGTCTTGTTATCAAAAAGTTGACGATAAAGACATCTGCTGTTATTTTATTGAATGCAACACGTCAGTTTTACAAGAGAGAAATGAGAAGAGATCTTGAGACAGAGTAAACGTTAAAAAGCACCCAAAGGAACTGTCTAGTAGAATAAGTGGAGACATTTCTCCTAATGGCAGCATAAAACGCCATAACTTTTTTTTTTCCTTATAAAAAAGTAATGTCCGATTCCAAACGAAACACCGTGCTACAGTTTAAAAGCTGCCTTTGTTTTACTATGAACAACAACATCAATTTATTTTAACTTTGTGAAATGGATAGGCTTTAATGCATAGTGCAATTGGTCACTGGCCATTGAACATCACTCTACTTATATAAAGGCCTTGAGAACTGACTGAAACTGTGAAGGAAAATGGACAAGACATTAGGGGATAGTTAGATGTCTATTATTACACGTCGGAAAGGATGATAAAGAGAATTAGTTAATAAATTCTGAAGTATTAGACAAAACTAAGTCACTAGGTCGTTAATTTTCCAAAGTTTTTGCCGGTAGCGTTATAAGAGCAATTTTAGGGCACGACCGGAAGCAACCGTTAAAACATTAACTTAGAGCTAGTGCTACGGTGATATGAGTCTTCAAGACGAATTTTGCCATCGGGGTACACAAAATAATGAACCTGCTAATTGGGAGATGAAATAGCGGACGATCAGCGTCAAAAAACATCCTTATGGTTTTGGAAAAAGCTAGGATTTAGTGGGTGTGAGAAATAAACTAGACCAGAGATGTTTCGATTATGAAGGTGACTGTTTATTTTCTTCTTGACGGTATATTTCATTAGGGAAAGCATCGTTTAGCGAAAGCCTCGGCCTTAAAGTCCTTCAAATGTTATGAGGAAAAGATAGGAAGCTCTGTAGAGAAACAATCAACCTATCGAAACAAACAGACCTATAGAGATCTCTGCGGGAGCTCACCCAGGAAGGGTTCGTCGGCTTAAGCAGCTTTATTTAATTTATGCTTTAAACTGTTCAGAATTATTCAATTCGATGAAGATCGTGGACTGTTCACAATACACCTAGAGCATTATGTGATGATTCGTCCCCAGCGGACAAGCGGACAGAATGAAAATAACTTGTAGTCGGCTGGATTTATTTTCGGGTGAAATCTAACGGAAAATGCGAATTGACAAACTTCGCATTTAATTTTGTCAGAATCTTGCATCAACGGGCACTAATCTCACTGCTTCGTAAAAATGATAACAAAGTAAAATATTATAAGAAATTTAATATATTAAAACGATGTTGTGGATATTATTTATTGATTAATCAATTAATATAAATAAAAATAAACATATAAGTTGCTTAAAGTTTTACTTTTATGTATGAAAAAATAGTGCTTAGGCGGAAAGGGGGCTTAAGAGGGATAAGTAATCAAAACAAAAACAAAAGGAAACAAACAAAAAACAAAGAAGAAACCAAGGCAAAACGATCTGACTTAAAATAAAAACAAAGCACCTTGGATGAGCTTACCAGCCTAGAGCATCGTAATTAACATGGACACAATGGTTCTCGTTGTCATGGCTGGTTCGTCATAAACCCTTGAATGATGAATAAACGACTGTGAATATGATTTGAATGGATATATGATATAGATAAAAAACATTGCATGAGGTCATGGATTCAACTCCCGTACAAGCCTGACTTTTTTTAAGGCATTATTTTCAATATGCTATGATCGATATTCATTTATATATTTATCCGCTGTTCAAAATGTTCATATATTCACCGTAATTTTCTTCAATTTGGGTAAAAAGCTTGCTTAATTCAAATCGTAAATAACTTGTCCTAGTTCGACCAGAACGCGTAGTCTCAAAATGCGGAAAGTATTTCCAAGGTGTGACCAAAGTGTTGTACGGGTACGTGATGTGTTTTGCGATCACAGATTAATTATCAAATCTTTGACCAAACCAGAGTTTCACAATTTACATTGATTAACACCTTAGTCGAGAAGCTAACTCTAACTCAACATTATACCGGTCATTATTTATCGCCTCGGGTATTCAGAGGATTTTGAGGGGATCATATATTTTTCAGGGGGAACTAAGGAGGAATCTGTTGTCGTCAGATGAATATAAGGGGGGAGACTAAAAATTCTCAGGAAATATTAAAGTTCTTCTTTTTTTTATGAGAAATCTATCCAGGCGTAGCCGATCTGATTGATACCTTGAAAGGATATTTGAGTCCAATTAATAGTTTACCAGAGTAGAAATGTGCTTTACGCCGGTCAGGGAGCTGAGAACTACGAATTTCCTTGTACATATAATATATGCAGGTGACGAGATCGAGTTGGCAACTGTCCCGTCGCCTGCGAGCCGACACGTGCAAATGTTTCATCTCCTGTACCAGCCGCTGAGCGGAACCATGATCTGTGGTTAAGTTTCCGACTCTTGGTTCCTCATTATTAATTGACTGATAAGATTACGGCGGATTTATTCCAAAGTGTCACGCAACCCGTTCACCTTCCATTCTGAGTCGAATGACCGCAATGAAACTGCTCCTCTTACTCTTCGCCGTTTCATGGATTTTGGGAAATCTTGAGAGTCACTCTTCATCAGGTATCTAGAATTCATTTAAATAGAGGCAATAACACAACGTGGAGCTTTTGTTGACGTTCCATGCACCATTTCGTCGGTCTCATTCACAAAGCTGGATGCTAGAATCCTCACAAATAATCTGCCGACACATGTGCCGCTTAGCTCCTTATCATGCCACCTGGTCATCTTTTCTTTACACAAATCTCCGACATCTTTTAAAACTGTTTAGAAGCAAATGTATGGAAGCGGGAAGTCACTGAAAAATCAGTAATTCTCAAAACAGGGAATATTAGCATATTGCAAATCGATTCGCGATATGTTGACAGCTCCATGATAACTAGCAATTTATTAGGTATACTACTCAGCAGGTTCTAACTTGCATGATGGTATTTTTAATATGTCTGAGCATTTTCTTCAGATTTAAGCAGCCACCTTTGATTTGTGAAGTTTGAGCGGTTTAGCTGACGAAACCTTTCTGTTTCGGTTCATAATTGAATTGTTAAACGCTCGAGAGTTATGGGTGATTGATTGAAGGTCGTTGTGAAACTTGGCCATATGACTTCCGTTTCCTCATCCTTTCAAACTGAGTGCAGAAATATTTTTATTTCCATTTCATAAAGAATTTGACGAGTTGTCTAGAAATCTTTTTCTTCGAATACTAAGAGTTTAATTTTGTTGTTGCGAATCTCATAACGGAATCAATTTACACTTTGTTGCAAGTCGAAGGCTCAAAAGTATAATTACTTTCCTGTGTTTTTGTTTTAGTTGAAATCAGATATTGTTTCAAAGTCTGACAAGTTAAATTACAAGTTATTAATAGCGACCATACGTCAGGGCTAGGAGCACATCAATCCTTCCTTTTGTGAATTAAATGAAACTCACAGCTATCGCGGTATTTCGATTCTGCTTCCGCGTCTGTTGACTTGTCGAAAGAAAAGTTTATAAAGCGACTTTTTGCGACGTAAGATTCTCGAAGCTTACCTCATAAGGCGGCTGATCTTTGATGGAACAGATAATGTTTGCGAATGAAAATCCCAGCGAGCGATATTCTCTAATTAATTTGTAGCTACATTTATGGTTGCTTTAGTGAGCCTATTTCGTGGGATTTTGTTCTATAACGCATTGAAATGAGGTACATTTCTATAAACTTTAGATGAAACGAAACTTTTGACACGTGTTAGCCATAATTAGAAAACAAAGAATAAAAAGATTAGAAAATGAGAAGGCCATTTAGAGGTAAAATATACTTTGATATGTGTCCTTGTATGTTATCTATTTGGAGAAAGGAACAGGCAGTCTGATATCCGATATTTGAGAGTATTCTTAGAGCAGCGGACAGTACTCTGTTTATCATCCTTCAATAATAATTGCAGGGCGCAGGACAGATACAGTTTACGATTTCATGTAACTTAAAAAAGCGTCCGTACCCGTACAGCTTCGCGCGCGCTTTTATTATGGAACATTAGACAAAAAAACCCTGTATGAAGACTCTACACGATGGCGTAAGCAGGTGCGACTCCTCTAGTAGCGAGCCAAAAGAAAAAGAAAGGAAAAAATTGAAAAAAAAAATTATGTCACGTTACGCGCTAGGAAAGATGTCAGTTTAAGCTACTCTGTGATTCGTACATTTACTTTCATTCTCCTTTTACCTTCAGATTTGATCAGAACCGTTGAAGGAGAAGATTACAACATTACTTGTTTGCGGTCAGTTAATGACACCGACGCAACAAACAGCTTCAATTTCTCTTGGCACAGATCTGGCGAAGACGATGTTATATCAAACGCAAAGCTATTAGAAATTTTGGACATTAAAAGGAACAGTTCGGGGAATTACAGCTGTACTGCAACAAACAATACCGCAAACTTGGTTAGGAATATCACAGTGATTGTGTACTGTAAGTGCATATCACAGTTCTTAAATTGGGTTTAAATCATTCATTAAGACTATTTTACATAATGTTTGTAATTATCGTTAGCTTTTTTAATGTCATTTTCCGCATTATCATTAGAGTTATCATTCTTGTTATTATACAATGGACTTACTTTGAAAATTCTGTCTTGTTGAGAGGTTTCAATCAATATCCAATAACTACAGCGGATGTTGCATCCATTATGTCAATGATGTATCCTCAAACTTTTGCAAACTCAAAGCAAAATGGCTTCGTTTGGGGAATGTTTTAAAAAGATGTATTACAAAACAATTATAAATTGTTGAATTCGGTTTTCGCATGATATCATGCTCAACCTCATCGAATAATTGACTACTACAATTATCATCATCATTTTCACTTTATCTGCTTCTATCAGCATCATCATTACTATGAACCACATAGACTCAGGCGGAAACGTTACAGAAAACGAATCTTTTCCAACAATACTGTTTTGCCATGTTAGTGCCAATCCCTCATCTAAAATACATTTGGCTCTTCCAAACGGCTCCGTTATTTTATTAAGAAACAACGAAATTCTTGCACCGCAAATGCCCGCAAGACAGCATGAACAGATGCAGAAAAATCCCCGAGACGTAGATAATTTTTAAGTAATTTTTTTTTGTATTCTTCAGATAAACCTGCAATAAATAGAACAGGTCTTTTGTCTCAAATAAACTCATCCCTTTACCAAAATTCCTCACTTATCTGCCGCGCAGAAGGGAATCCGACACCGGAAATCTCATGGTCAAAAGACGGACGTGTGATATGGAATGGAACCATATCTGGGATTTTTGATATCTATCCTTCTAAGGCAGAGGAGTTTGGTAACTACACTTGTGCGGCACAGAATAAACTTGGAAAGGATGAACTACACGTTGAAGTAATACGAACAGGTCAGAGAAACTACGTACACTTGATGATACTTGACAAATACTCTGTCTGATTCTGGTAACTGAATTTACTCCTTCCAAAATAAAATTAAGTGAAACCTAAACAAAAGATCTGAAGTACATGGCCAGTTGTCACGTGTGTAATTTCTTGTGTGCAACAGGATGAACTGTCATTGAATGCAGTTGAAGATGTCATAGCGGATAGTTTACTGTGCACCATCGAATACTGTACAATGTCCTTACCCCCTTAGTACAGGTAACAGCTGATTCCCGACTGAGGCCTGATGTTAGATGCTTGCTCGAAATTTTGATCTCTTAAACCTTTTACAAAATTTAGAGCAGTCTGTTTTACTTTAGTTCAAACCATCCTAGAGAAAACGACTCAGTCATTCAGGGCCCTCTGTGCAATTACGCTGCGTATGTAATTTGTTTTATCATTCAAAATCTTCCCGTTGCAGCCTTTCCACCTGACCCACCAACCATCACAAATACATTTTTACAACTAATCGACCCTTCTCTCACCCTTCGATGGACAAAACCTGAAGAAAATGGCAGACCAATTTTTAAATACGTGATCTGTCACCGGGTGTTGAACTCAAGTCAATGGAACGAAACAGACGTTGGAAACATCTTGAACTATAATTTCACACTGAACTGGGGCGTGTCCTATGAATTTGCTCTAATGGCCGTAAACAACCAAGGCCGGAGTAATAAAAGTAAACTGGAGACTTTCACCGTTGTACCTGGTAAGCTATGTTTTCTAACGTAGTATTCAGATGAGCGTTATGGAAGTCTTTCCACGTGTTACTCGCTCTTGAGCGAGCTGGCTTAAGTGTGAACCATAACAAGGAGAAGCATTTTGTATTCTACAACAGGACGCTTTATTTCAATGTACCTTACTACCCAGGAGTTTAAATGGATACTAGTTAATTGTTAGAGGAAGAAAATGTTGGCGAATGGCATGCATTGAACTGGCATTCCATTATATGTCCCCAGTCGAGTCATGGGACAGAAACGGGAAAAGGCCATTGAAGCTGTGAGAATCCGAATAATTCTTACCCTTTATCAAAAACTGTTTGGGATACACTTCTTACAAAACGAGAACACTTTCAAACATATTTATTATGCTCCAGCTTTTACTACTTCAATTCTGCTTTTTCCAGAACCAACACCATCGACTGCCAAACCCACAACGATAACTACAGGTGAGAGACTACATGTCCCCGGTCGAGTCATGGGTCAGAAACGGGAAAAGGCCATCGAAGCTCTGAGAATCCGATCAATTCTTAATAAATTAATTGTTAGCTATAGAGGAAGAAAATGTTGGCGAACGGCATGCATTGAACTAGGATTCCATTATATGTCCCCGGTCAAGTCATGGGACAGAAACGGGAAAAGGCCATTGAAGCTCTGAGAATCCGATCAATTCCTACCTAGTATTAAAAACGGTTTGCAATACACTTCTTACAAAACGAGAACACTCACAAAAATATTTATTACGCTCTTGTTTTTACTGCTCCAATTCCGTTTTTTTTTTTCAGAACCAACACTATCGACTGCCAAACCCACAACGACGACTTCAGGTGAGATATACAGGTTGTATCCATTATATGCAAGCGTAGATGTGAGTTACTGGGGCCGATATGGAGACGATCTTGTGGGGTTACTTTGACCAGGTATCGTGCATTGTCAAGATTCGAAGGGAATTCCCCTATTCCCCCTTCTTTCTCGTCAGACTGGTTGCGCAGTTCCAACGTCAATTATTATTCAATTGACTTGACGTCAATTATTGTATTAATTGCTGAGGCGGATTGCTTAGGCGGTATTCTGTCCTGCAACTGATTTCCTGCGTCGTGTATACGCCAGTTTTGCGAAACAACCTCATCTATTTTAACATGATTTCCAGAGCTCGAATACGATGTGGCTCATAAAATCATCCTATGGGAGCGATGGAGTTTAAATTTTCTTGCTATCTTTATCGATATTCGTCACGCACCATCCGTCAAGAGTACATTCAACAGAATATATTATCCTTTGTCCAACATTAATCACAACTACGAAGACTAAATCGACCTTATCTGTACCAATTTCTGGATAGCCATAACTTGATATCTGTTCGACAGAAATTCATTGACGCCACCATTTCTCTTTTGGGGAAAGGATTGTTATAATGAACATTTGTTTTACAGTCGAATCGAAAGTGCAACGACATAATCGAATTTCCAGATCCGAGAAAAATTGCCTTCTCAACATTCAGTCACAAAATTGAGATGAGTTATTGCTCGTTGTATGAAACGACGATGGAAGATAGAACTGGAGCCCTGATTTTCGGGAGAAAAAGATTCGTTGGCGTAAATAATTAAATATGTAAGGAATGGAAAAGAAAAGCCACCTTTGACAACTGAAAGTAAGACAGATACATGAAATTTTGATCATATAACTTCAAGAGCTCTGAATAAATTATGTGAATTGGCTACTTTCTTTCTTGTGTCACAGACGGCTCAAATGTCCCCTTATATGCTGCTGCTGTCGGTGGCGGCGTTGGTTTTCTTGCAATTGTTATAGTGGTTGGTTGCTGTATTAAAAGAAAGCGTAATACAGGTGAGTTTACTTTGTGAATTGGACTGGAATCGTCGCCCGGAATCGTCGCCCGGCACGTTTCTTTGCCCGTAACTGGATGCTAAGCGTTTGATAAACATCATTGTTCGATTTTCTAAGTCCACTATTTCTTAGTTTTTAGCAGTTGTTTCAAGTGAATCTTAATAAAAGAAGTTTTAACAAGAGCTCTTAAGTCTTAAGTTGTGAAGTGTTTAATTAGTGGAGCCATAGTGTGCAATGTCTTTCGATTTACCTGGTTTATCCATGTACTTTTTGTCCTGTTTAGGTTACCCCCGCATGCATGTGCAAGGGGAACATGTGACGGAACTGAAGACAGCAATTGAATACGCTTATAGGAAAAGTATACTCCAGATTATAAGAAATTTTTCCTATGTCATTAAAAGGAAAAAAAGTCCAATTGTGAAAATGAGCGCGCTTCGATCCTCTAAACGCCTTTCTAACCTGAGAAAATTTGCCCCCGAAAGTGGAAAGGTCTATTAAAGCATTTTCATTTTGAACCCTGCTCAAAAAACGTAGCCATTTAAGCTAATTTACCTTTTCTCTTTTATCAATTTCTTCGGAGCATGCTTGAAAAACACGTTTCGAAGCAGAAAGCGTTGTTGAACCAGATAAAGGGACTTTGGTTTGTAAACTGGGGATTGGGTTTCCCGCCAGGAAAGGTATTTTAAGAAAATGTTGGAAATACAAGGTTACTCTTTGGAGTCCCAAAAACCGATCAGTACTTCAATTTCATGTATATTTGGTAGAGATAAAAAAAGAAAAAGAAAAAACAAAGAGGGCACTTTGTTTTCTTGTCTATTACTAATGATCTATACATTGATTTCATTCAGCAACTCCAATGCAAGAACTGTGTGAACTTCAACCGCGGTTAGTTGATTAGTAATGATATAGCTGCTATTTAAGGTAATCCACGTGTCAGTGGCGAGTGATAAAATTATCGATTCCCACAACTTAACGTCAGGTAAATAAATATAAGACCTGAAAGAGAGAGAAATTACGAAACGTCGGTACTTCCTGTCCCCACCCCCCCTCCTTCACCTAAAGATGCTAAGTAGCTTGCGGCCTCACTGGTCACTGGTTGGTAGTGAATTGGTATGTGAGAGGAACGCATGCAGGCCCGATCGAAGGCTGAAATCTTTTTCCCGTTTCAATTCCTGAAATTTCTGCACTTTGTTTTCCTATCAGCGTGTCACTCGCTCATTCTATGAACTTTATAAGCTACTCTTGTTTTCTCTTTGATGTCAAATCTCCTAATTAACATGTTCACTGTAATTTTCTTACAGCGAATTCGATCCTGAAAGGAGTCCTCGAAGGACCGAAAGCATACCAAATACGTACAATACGGTATGAAGAAATTTCTTTATTCTCTAGCTCGAAGAGCTTCTAGTGTTTAGATATGAAATAGGTTTTGGGAAGTAAGAGCGTCACAACTTCCCTTAGTTATACGCCATCCGTGAATAAGATCTGTGTTAAAACTACCCGCCACCCTTTTCCCTTCTTCCTTATCGCGACCAAGTGTTCAAAACTGTTTTCACATTAATTGGAATTGAAGTACAGTCAAGAATATCTGCAACAGTTGTTTTATGTTTTTGTTGCCTTATGTAGACGGGCATGTGAGGTGAGACGAGGTGAAATCAATAAAAGCAGCCATATTTACTGCCATTGGAAACCAGCTTTGAAATTTTGACTTTACTGACGAGAATTAGCGCTCTCCAAGATCACGACATGACTGTTAATAGTTGTCTTGTGCACTTAAAAGCATAGAGACCGCCATGGAATAGGGGAAGTTTTGTTTTGTTTCGGTGTTTTTTCTTTTCTCGCGTTGCAGAAAACACCGAAGCTGAACTGCTGTAGCGTTTTCTTCGTATTTGAGCTTGCTCCTTTATAAATTTACTAAGTTGTCAAGCCATTTGACCATCAAAGAAATCACAAGAATTTCGATAGCATTCACCCAACGTAGATACATTTCCTCGCCATCGATATTCTGAAAGTGAATCTAATCGAATCTGCACTTTAACTTCAGGTATTTCGCTCACAATCTTCAATCAGCAGTGAGCGAGGACAAACTACTTGCGCTGTGTATGCAAACCTTCCATGCTTAGAAGAAGAAAAGCAATGGGAATTCCCCAAGAACAAGCTTCATATAGAAAAGTATGTTGGCAAGGGTGCATTCTGCGTGGTTGCTCAAGCCCGTGCTGAAGGACTGGGAACTGTGGCTGTCAAGATTCCGAAAGGTATGACAAGAACAGTACGATCGCGCAAAATTGTGTAGAAATTGAAAGATCACGCTTATGAAATTCTTTTTTTCACTTTGGCTTGAATAAGGTTATGGGTAGATTTATCTGATTTGACAGCTTTTTCAGTGCTCTCATTGCTTCTTATAATTCGATGCGTAGATGTATGTGCAAATTATTATAACATAGCGCGCGCTTTAGTACTGTCTAATATCTTGGAAGCTACTGTGATCTATATCTCTACCGTAAGTACGGCTGCGTACTTTCCGTCGAATTCGGCCGAGAGGCTCCAACCTTTCAACATTGTTTCCTCACTCAATCTCCAATCAAGATAAACCTTTGGGAGCTCAAAATGAAAATGTAATATGCTAAATAATACTCGATTCTAAAAGCGATGAACATATAGCTCTTACGGGCAGGGATGTTGGCTTTGGAGTTCACGATACTTCATTCCCAATCGTGATAGAATTATGGCTTGAAAAGGAAAACTGAGCTAGCTGAATTCAAGCGAAACTTTGTGACCGTGGTACCCTTCTTTAGAACCTTGAATATCATCTGCAAATGTCGATATGCCCCAAAAGAATTGTTCAAAATCAGATTTTGTTCAAAAATCGGACAATTTCAGAATTTTCAACTAAGAACTACGCAATTTTCTGGCCGTGAATTCTAGTTAGTAAACAACGATTCGAGCAGGGTAAATTAATTATGTAAGTTTCGAACATAACAGAAATTCATGTATTGTTCAATTCCAACCAAAAGATTTAGTATTTCGTTGAATGAAGCTTCTGTCTCGAATATTTCTTGGTCGTTCCTGCCTTGCCTTGTATTCATAGTTTCGTGTACGCAGACTCGGATGTAACAAAATTCTTTCTTCGTGTAAAATTTGTGTCTGAAATCTGGTAAAAGAACCAATTCTTCATTGTTACGGAAGATTTACAAAATCAGAAAATCCAGTATTAGTTATTAAGTTTGGCGGCCCTCCGCGCACGACTGAAAATAAAATTTACCCCTCTACTCCACAATTTTTTTGTTTCAGAAAACTCTCCAGATTCAAACAAGGAAGACTTGTTAGCAGAATACGAACTCATGAGACAGCTTCAACATCATCCTAATATAATTCGCCTGATGGGCGCAGTGACAATGTCAGGTATGTCCACACCATATTGTGTACTATTCTTTTCCATTTAGAAGTTGCAAATCCAAAAGTTGTTTGGAACGAAATGCATCTATTAACCCTGATGCTCATCTCAGTCTCACAGAGCTCCCACCCTTCCACATAGGTTTAAATGTGTACCAGTGAACTTTCAGGAAGGCCTGACGAAATGCTGGATGGGGGTCTGGGGAGGGGACATTGGATTAGCGCCCCATTCAAGAAGAGTCGCAGTGTTGTAGTAGCTTAATGCTGATTTACCCTCACTGCCACTTTTAAGATAATAACGCACAGGAGAACGGATATTGATCCTATTGGCTTAACTTTAACATTTCAGTAGAAATTTTGGACCACTTTTGATACTATAAGGTCATTGAAACTGTTTGAAAACCACCCCCCCCCTTACAACCCTTACCATTCACTATTTGACGACCTTTGTGACAAAGAGGCAATCTCCCTCATGGCTTGTTCCGCTCGATTTCCAGATCCAGTAATGGTTCTCTTCGAGTATATACCATTTGGTGATCTTCTCGGTTACTTAAGAAGATCCAGAGGCCTCAGTGACAATTACTATAAAGATCCCGATGTTAAACCATCAAGTTCTCTTTCATCCAAACAGCTTCTTAAATTTTCTCGAGAAATTGCTGATGGTATGGCTTTCCTGTCAGCAAACAAGGTAAACAGAGTCGTAACCAATTAGTTTTGAGTCCACTTAATCGCACTTTAAAAGAGCTGAACTGCACTTTAGCGATTCTTAAGATGTAATCCAACCGTTCGAAAATTGTCTGTGAATGCATCTATGCTGAAAACTTACCACAACGGGCCAGTGGGGCAAACGTTGAACTTCAAGAATTATATCAGGATGTAAAATTTATAAAGTTCCTTTTAGGGAATGTATAAGTTTGCCATCTTGCAAATCTGGAATTGACTCTGATTGTAGTTACATTTCCCTCAACACGTTCATAATGACCTGCAAAACAGTCTTGTTGATCAGTAAGATATGCCTTACAGGAATATTCAGAACGTAACCTGATTTAATCATTACCATTATAATTTCCTCAAATGTAACTGGTGCATTAGAAGCTTTATTTTTCACTAATCACTCTGTACACAGTGTAAACAGACAGTTGGCTGTAATCGGAAACCTATAATCGGACAGTTGAAGCAGCCGATCATACTGAGCCCTTTCAGCTGAATCTCCTATTCACAATATTGTATATCCTAAGAAAAACCGGGGAATTACCAAAATGGAGGAATTTTTTAACTTAAGACACTCTCTCAACTGAAGATATTTGTTCTAGACGTATCTGTTTTTTCGGAAATTTTAATGGTTATGATTAATTGGTAATTGAAATTCTTGTCGTCTAATTCTGTCTGTAAACATACTCACGATTAATCGGACTCACGCTTCGCGGTCGTCGAATTTTGTTAAGCACTCGTATGATTACAGACCAAATTGGACTCCACTCGGTCTTATTGCCATTATTAATTATGATATCGCAAGCTAAGCCGTAAGATAATGGCTATACGTAGATTGATTTTGGGTTGGAGTTTCAGTTGTCATAAACTTTGAAATGTGGAAGTTGATTTTGTTAGCATCATAAAACCAAGCTTTACTTTGACATTATAGAAGCTCTTTTTCAGATTTATAGTCTTTTAAGTAATCACTGCTAAAGCTTTATCTTGAGTACTCTAATTTGTGACCGGTGACTAAAGGTTAACCTGTTTGATTATGCGAAATTGGCGTTCTAATAACACAAGAGCAACTATAACGAAAACAAAAAACGATCAAGCGCATGTTCAATTGCGCAGGGGTCCTATTCCATTGGCTTAATTGCAAATCTCTGACAATAACATATGATCACTTGATTTTTTTCCCAACTCCTTTAGATAGTTCACCGCGACCTAGCGGCCAGAAACGTACTTGTAGGCGAGGAAGAAACATGCAAAATAACAGACTTTGGGATGGCCAGAGATGTACAAGGAGGTGATATTTACCAAAAACGGTCAAAGGTACTATCACATGACCCTTTGCCATGGAAGGGGGTTCATCGTACTCCAAGCCAAGTACACGCCCCTTTTCAATCTTCCCAAACTGTCCTCTGCGTGGTTTTGTGGCGCAAAAAAAACTTTCTGCACCCTTAATAGGCATGCAATCTAAATAGTACCAAGCATGCTCCTCAACAATTTGTTTCAATACACAAGTAAGACGATGGCCAAAATCATAAACTTAGAAAGCCTACAACATGTTGTTTCGCTGAGCGCAACTCTAATTATGAAGCAACCTGTGGAAACGTCATGAGAACATAGATTTTACCGAGCCATAGTAGGTTGTATATACATGAGTTTACCTTTTTCCAGCAATTTTTGACAAATTACCTTTTTTTTCCTATTGTGCTACAATGTTTTTATGTTTCAGGGTCGCCTCCCAGTAAAGTGGACTGCAGTGGAGGCATTGCTGTATGGTTCCTACACTACAAAGAGTGATGTGTAAGTAATTTTTTTTTTTTTGATGCGGAAAGCGTTTTGCGAATATCAGATAAACCAGGGTAACAGCACTTATAATGCAAATTATCCAATTCAAACTAGCCAGTTGAGCTACTTACATTTTTTAAGAAGCTTTAGCTCCAATGTTTTGAGATAGGGAAGGCAGCTTGAGTTAGGAAGGTTTGCAACGTAGCTTTTTAGTCAGCACACTTATTTCTTTTAAAAAAATTGTAAAACGTCGAACTTAATCCATTTGTTTCCAAGCGCGTGTAAATTTCTTCTGTTATTCTTTCTGTTGCCGTGTGCGTCTGCTCCTCTCTTCTTAAGTTCTCAGTTGTTACAGCTTACAGCACTTCTATCAGTATGTACAAGTATGCATAAGTTGAGCATTCGTACTCTTATTTTTCAGTTGGAGCTATGGAATTGTATTGTACGAAATCTTCACCATAGGTAAGGTAGCATGTGCATTCTAAACCTATTCTGAAACTAAACAAATGGGTTCTGGGTTAGCGAACCGCGAATCACCAGAGAGAACGCGTTTACTTTGTTTTGATGCTTGTTCGTTGACTTCGACTGTTATGTCTTGAAAGGAGGTCGTCCATACCCCACGGTTCCAGCTCACAACATCCCCTATAAGATAAAGGGTGGTTACAGAATGCCTAAACCTGCCCACTTAGACGATGACATGTGAGTACAAAATCCTTGTGATTTAGACATATTTTTTTGTGGTAGCTTTTGTAATCGTAACGTTTTACTTCAGAGCCGCTTAAAGTAACAGGGACCTTAATGAAACAAATCACAAAGGCTAAAGCAACTAAACATGGCAAAACTATCAGAGCTATTGTCGACAATTAGGTCCACAGCATTAAAAAAGAACCCCGGCCGGAGCTTATTCCAGTTAGGTTTGCCCAACATTTTGCAGGGTGGAGAGGGAGGCACCGTGTGAGTGAAGCGTCCTGCCCAAGAACACAAAACAAGGACGACCCGATTAGTCTCTAATACAAACCTCAAGCCATTCAAGAAATTCCAAAGGCGATAACATTACTGAATTTTTTTCCAACACCTGCTTTACTTGAGCGTCACCAGCTTTCAAAAATTTCTTCGAAAACTATTTTGTTTGTGACGGAGTAATGTCATTCTGACTACACTCATGCGTGAAATTCAATTTTAAAAGTTTATTTAGGATGAGTCAGTCAGTTTTCTAGTATACGCATCCCGATTCAATCTTAACATGTGCACCCTGAAACTAATGGTTCTACGAAAAGAACCTGTGCTTCGCCAGATACGAAAAGCCACTAAAAAAAATACTCATTAGATGTGGCCAAAAAATACATGGAAACGTATTCCTCATCCAATGCAGCAGCACTACTAATCACAAAGAAAAACCTATGATTATAACGATATCTTAAAGGGGGTTGGAATATTAAAATTACAACAAATACGAAAAAGAAAGTGGTTAAACATAAGACTGACCGACCAAAGATGACTTAGTATTCCCGCGAAACGCTTAAATAATGTGAAACTCTCATGATGCTACGCGAACCTCTCTAACGTACAGGATATTAATTTCTGACCAATTCTTTCCCATGCCACTCAAACGTCAGAATTTACATTTTGTAGCTGCTCGTTTTCTATATTTTTGGCGGCAGATTTTAAGATAATAACTGATCTGATTTACGTTTGCATCTTCAGCTATGCGCTGATGTCTGAATGCTGGGATATGGAGCCGGACCGCCGTCCGACATTTGATTCTATTAGCAGAACAGTCAAACGGCTTGAGCACGGTCGCAAGGTGAGAATTGATGGTTCTTCTTCTTCTTCTAGAATAGTCCTAGAGAGTGATTTAATCTAATCGCGATTCCTTTCGTGTAAGTGTCTGTTGAGTAGATCTCAAACCATGGCACGAGTTATAAGCTTGGATCCGCCACAGTATTAACTCGGGCATATCAAATCGTCCAGAGACCAAGACCAGAGAAGGCTTGACGGATATTTCTAAGTGGACATACTGGCCTTTTACCAGTTTCTAATCTTTTTTATTATTATTATTTTTTTTTTCATTTGTTTCAGGAAATTATTTACATGAATGTTTACAACGACAATCTTTATAGTAACCTGGAGGACTGGGACGAGTAATGACAAGGATAGAGAGAGAATTCATATTGATAGAGGGAAACTTTTGTTGCACCCATTCTAAGCACTTGTACCTTGTTACTAGAAGACTATTTTTTTTCCTGTCCTGCTTCTTTTCCTGTTTTTTTTTTCTTTTTCTTTTTGGCGAGAGTTTTTTTACCATAGGTTGCGATGCTAACAGATAACTTACTCTTTTAGCTATTCATTATTTGATTTTTAAGGAATATATTATACCTGCAGTATAGTATAGTATAGGTGAGAGGGAGTGGCTACCTGGAGGTGGTGGAGTAGTGTGAGACATTTTCTTGTGGGTTCAACGTTTTAAATCTCTAAAGAACCATCGTAGCATATAGATGATACGTGATGTGCTTTTCAAACAAAAAGCATGATTCAAATTTTGCTAAGCAAAGTTGATCATGTCTGAAGCTTCTAGAGGAGCGTTCCTCGTTCTCATGAAACGCGTTAGCTATCGTATCATGGTTGTTGGCACAATATGGCCCTTACCGCTATGGCGAAGTCGCCGTTGTAGATATGTTAAAATAGGAGAGGATGCATTGAATGATCGCCCAAAAGAAGCTTAGCTTTCTAAATAAGCAATCGTTAATAGAGACCCGAAGGGAACTGAAGTGTAAATAAGTGACAAGGAAAGTAACATTTTTCGAGTTAATTTCTTTGTAATTTCTGACATTTAACTATATGATATAACTTGTTTAGGTAAAAAAAGTACGAAACAAAGGTATGGTATCTTGGTATCTTGAATGTAAGTCCACTACACTTTTACTATACCCCACCTATGCCAAACCTGAAAATTATGACCAACCTACGTTAGCGGTGTAGCGCCCTTAACAACTGAGTCAAAAGGCCAGCCACATTCAATCGCTTCGAGGCCTTCTTAGTTTCATTTTAAACTAAAATAGACGCTAGTATTTCTGAATTTTACTACAAAAGTTACACTAGATATTTTTTGTACCCACTGTCACCTGTTAATTGAATCAATGTATACGATGGGTTCAAATTTTCTTTTCTTTTGTTCTTGGGTATTGTAATGTATGATAATGAGTTTGAAACAAAGGAAAATAAAATTTGAATCATGGATAAAATTGAACCGCAACACATCCATCACTAACGCCATCAATCTAAGGGCGTCTATTCCTACCTTTAAGTGTATAGAAGCCTTCTAAGAATGCTTGCCAAACACTATCCAATTTAAATATACTTTGAAATTAAATAATATTTTGTCTATTCTGTCCTTGGTTTCATTTCGATTTGATACGTCCCAACTGAATTCAGGGCATATTAACTATGCTAGCTTTAACGAAACTTTACAATTGTAAACCTATACAGTATTTTATGACAAAAAAAAATACATGTTTGAAGGAAAACATCTTTGTTCGTTCTGGAGGGCCCTTTAGAACTCACTTTGAATGATGAAAATGTGTGCCGTGTATTTAACATTCTATTACGTGCATAATTTTGTGGCTTGAAAACAGTACTGGACAACAACAGCCCTGCGATATTTTCAACTGAAACATCGCTCATATATCACCGATGCATCACGACGATCGCGATAATCGGCGATTATCGTTTGCATCACACTGGCACAGTACTGTACTTAATTAAAAGAATCTCATTTAACACCATATGGCTACATTATCAGGTGTTCACTGACTTAGCAAAGAGCCCTATTTTTATACAGTGTATGCAATTTTAAAAAAGCACCAAAGCCTAAGCTTCCATATCATCAACGTTCTGGTAAAGTTTGCTATCGTAGTCCTTAAGGTTGATGTAGGTCTGAAAAATGAATGCAACAGTTTGAGTTCTTGATATAGCAAAATGAAAAATGATTGACCACTGAGGTTCACAAGGCGGTAAACACTACCTTTCTTTCATAAAGACCAAAACAAAACAAGAACAAAAAGCAAATGTGCAACTGACTCTGATCCTAAGGCATGTTCATGACGAACTCTTCAATCTCAGTTCGAACGTTCCACCGCAAAAGCTTTGCATAAACAGAAATACCTAGAGAGATGGGGGTTTTGGGCCTCTCTCGAAGAGGGGTTAGGAAGACACAGGGTAAAGCCCGTTTTCTTCAATTTCTTTATCTGGAGCTCGCTTGCGATAACAAATTCTTTACTTCTATGTTGAAAACAATCAAAATGCGATAACGATACTACAAAAAGGAAGTTTTAGACACCTCTTTCTCTTTGCCCATGTCTTCCATGGTCCTGCGCAGCTCTGCAAATGATGGTCGCTCCTCGGGTTTTTTATTCCAACAGGCTTTCATGACTTTATACCTAAAAAAATAGAAAACAAGATTTAATTAATATTGATTGACTCTGACAGAGGTGAATAACGTACCACATGGATACCGAAAAACAAGTTTATTTCTTTCAATATACCAGCAAGGGTTTGAAATTATACTCTCTACGCGCGATATTGTTTCATCGGCTCCTCAGAGGTGAATGGTACTTGTTTTTTACTTCCGAATTAGCCAATCAGTGCGCGCTAAAAGCATTATTCATTTGTATGGTATATACTGACAGAAGATATGAACGAGGTAACTTCATTAGATGTGACACTGATTTATGTTTAAGCGATTCACTTACAATTGTTCATCCAAATGTGGAGGCTTGGGCATTCTGTAACCTTCTTGAAGTAAAGAGGCTAAAGATTTTCCGTCGATATTCGGATATGGTGAACCTCCTATGAAACAAAGCTTGTTATTTCAGTAATCATCAGCATTATCTCACAACGATATTAAAAGCCAAAGCCACGGTTAGCATTGCGATGTTTCTTACATATGATCGGAGTTAGGAAATTAAGACAGATTTCGCAGTAGCCTGAGTATACGTTCGCATAGTCGACATTGTATGTTAAGTCTTTGAATTGACCTACGTGCAAGCCTTCAGTAGCAACGCAGCAGGACGCGTGTTTCTTCGCCTGCGAGGAGACTGGAGAGTTTTAAAAGTTTTTCGGAAGTCAGGAGAGTTTTGCTGGGGGTCTGGTCACTATCAAACGCCCGTGCTGAAGGTCTGGGAATGGGCATCCGCTCGCAAGCCCGTTTTATATTTTATCCATATTGCTCATTTCATTCTCGGCTTTTTTTAACGAAGGTTTACACCAAGTCAAAGTATACTGAAATAGCAGTAAAAAAAGATGAACAAACGGTGCGGCAATATCAAGAAGATGCTCGCCGATTTAACTGAAAACACGTCTCACGGAAGAGTTGATTCTCACCTATGGTAAAGATTTCGTACATCAGGATTCCATAGCTCCATCTGAAATTATTAAATGAAATACGTCAAAGAAGTCCGTTTTTTAAAAAGAGAACACTTAGGCAAAGCAGTGGTATCCAGAACAGCGGTAATAAAACCAAAACTAAGCAAACAATTGAAAGTAACTTACATGTCGCTCATCGTTGTACACTTTCCATATAACAAAGATTCAAATGCAGTCCATTTTACAGGGAGACGACCCTACCAATCAAGAGACAAATGGCAAAACTTAACTCGATAACTGGTAGAATTTTACCACTCAATAACATGGAATAAACATTTTCATGAGAGAGCATCAATACCTTGAAAGGCAACTTTATGCATCACATGCACAACCAAAAGGTTGTTAAAACCATGCGCAAAGTAATCTCGCTGATCAAAATAGTTTTTACCATATGGTGCGGATCAAAAACTAAAATAAAGAGGAAATCAAAGCTAAAAGAAACTTTATTAACGAGGAAATTAGAATAATCATTATCCCTTGTAGTTTACCGTGGCTGTTCTTCTGTAGAGGTCTTCTTTAAAAACATCCCTTGCCAAACCAAAATCCGTTATTTTGCAGGTCTCTCTATCACCAACTAGTACATTACGTGCTGCAAGATCGCGATGAACTATCTGCAAGAATGTTTAAAACCCGTCATAGATCAATCCAGTTAATCTTGCAAATATCAGGTGTCTCCAGTATTTCAACCTTAGGCGATCTAGCGATTTTTAGGAAAACCAGGCAGGGATGATAATTCTTACGACACCGATATGCACTTGGTACTTACGCTAGGCATCATGACTTAACAAATGTGGGAAAAATTACAGCTCAAAATATTTAATTTCGTGAGGGAAATGGCCTGAGGTACCCTGTCAAAACTACTATTTTCTTCAGAAGCCACAACTGTCTCTTTGGTTTGTTCCTGTAGCAAACAGGAAAGCTGTCTGGAAATTCAATCCACTCGTTTGTGTTATTCTGATAGAGTGCGATCATTCTAAGGCGTTTAAATTTCCATTTGTCTTGTTTTATATCGTACATGAGATAGTTGATCTGATCTGCCTGATCACGTCGCTCTCACTTTTGCCATAGTCGTGTGGTAAGAACAACCTTTGTAAACGGGCACATTACAGTACCTTCATCGAAGACAAGTAATCCATGCCATTCGCAATGTCCCAAGCAAAGCTGAATAATTGGTTAGAACTAAGAGAGCTTTGGGGTTTTATTTCAGTGTCGTTGTAATATGTGTCGCAAAGTCCACGGCTCTTCCTCAGAAAACCTAAGAGATCTCCATGTGGCACATACTCCGTTACAACCATAACGGGATCTTAAATAAAAAACAACGTTTAAAAAAATAAAATTAGTTCAAACACCTCAATAAAAATATGTTTTTGAACAGGACTGTTACGAAAAGATGGCTGCAAATTTTTAAAGTTCCCTCTAAGCGCAGTCATCTCGGCGGAACTAATGTGGCCAGGAAAGGATTACGGCCAGCCGATTATACCAAAGAATTCCGCTTTGATAGCTTTCTTTTCTGTTTCAAATTCTTCTCTTTTCTTCTCTTTTCGATTAACCTTTTAACTCCCACGATCTTATGGTCAATTCTCCCCTCTAACAATTTTTTTCCCTTGTACATTAGTAGTGAGAAATTGATATTAGATGACGATAAAAAAAAAAAACCTGATAAGTTCGAGTATTCCCATCACCAGTTTGGGGGATAATGTAGGGATATTATAGGGAGAAGTTTCATGTTAATTTCTTTTGGGAGTTGAAGGGTTATTTTCTCTTCATTTTCCTCACTAGCACTTCTTTTGCGCGCCTTTTGATATGTATCTTTTTTGTTATTCCCTCTTCTTTTCTACATGTAACTCTTCCTCCGGAGGTCGCCCGCAACAGATCAGGGAACATGACCTCTGAAAACGAGGTTGCCTAGATACAGTAGCCAAAATGCCTATCGCATACGTAGTCAAATAGGTATGGGTCGCACTTTTTCAAAATGTGTTTACTTTGCGGTTAAAATCTGTCGTCGAAAGACATTCTCAAATGCGAATGTGGTTTTTCCAGTGCTAGAAAATTTTATTCCAATCGCAAAGAAAAAAAGACAAACTAAGGTACCTTGGTACTTGGGTTGGGCAGGTAGACTCTGGAAAAATAAAGCTAAACAAAAGAGATAACCGTGGTAACTGTCAACGCTTGTCGATGAAACTTGGTCGATTGGAAACACGCACGTATGGTCAATTTGCGGGAATAATTTAGAACTTCGTGGTTTCGATATGAATAGTCGTCATTTTTACTATCCCTTACACGAAGCTTAGTTTTTTTTTCTTGGTAGTTATGAAATATCCTTGGAATAACCATCGACACAACTTCAATAGGACGCATGATCGCGAATCTTTCTTCCGAGCCATAAACATGCACTTTTGTTTCTGGTCTACTTCAGTTCTCAACAGTTCACAATGATGCTAATTTTTATAACAGCCACTCAAGAATGAGGCCGTAGAAATGTATCTTCAATTGTGTAGACAATCATTTCGCTGTTGTTGCGCTGCACTAAGAGACTGTTTTGTTAAAGTAAAAAGTTGTCATTTATGTTAAGCTCGTCTGACCTGCAGATGTGATTGCTGAGGTTTGTTTCTCAAGAATATTATAAAGGTGGTTCACTAATGAACGTGAGTTGGTGCGTTTTCGACAAATTACAATATTTGCAAGATACAACGATATTTCTGAGGGGCCTTGTGCATCTGATCCATAGAGATTAAGTTCACTGGCAAACCTGATTTGGTGACACAGCCCAGCAACTGAATAACATTTTGATGTGGTTCAAGCTTCTTCATCATGTTTAGTTCAGCGAGGAGATCCTGTCTGTTTTCGTCGGTGGCATTTTCTACCATAGATCAACATAAACAACGGGTTTTTATAAATGGTTCGGGTACTAGAAAAAAACTCTAATGTTCTGAAAACGTTATCGTCGAAATTGTAAAATCAAACGAGCAAGAAAAAAAAATGCAATTTACGTCCCCAAATTTCTCCCTCCATTCTTAATCGAATTTACCGTGAATTAGCTCGAGGGAAGAATTTCTAAGTCTACACACTCATGCTATCTGACGTCTTCCCTCACTTGAGTTTGTTAGACCGAAAAAAACTTGCATGAAGATAAGGTAAGTTATCATCACCCATAAATCCTTCAATGTCGTGAAGGTTGTTGTAGAACCACTCTTTTTAGAGGTATCAGTTAATTAAACGAACCTTTCAACATTTTGATAGCCACAACCACGTCTTCCTTGTTGTCATTTATTCCCTTAGCCATTCCTCGAGCCACTTTACCAAAAGCTCCCCTGCCAATCACCTTCACAAACACGAGATTCTCTCTGGGTAATTCCCAGTCCTTTTCGGTCGGGTTGGGAAGTATAGGAGGAATCACTGAGTATTCTTGACGGATCACTCCGTCAGAAGAACTAATTGGATCAGGAGTTCT